AGGAGAACATTGATTAACATATCAATTAGGTCATCCAAAGGGAAAAGGAAAACACAGACTGTAAGGCCAAATTACAGGTATTGCTATGATATAAATATAACGAAGCTATTTTTGTGAAGAATAGTACAATCTAATACAATCTAATGCAATTAACACAATTTGTGACAGGCTACCAGGTAGGGAAGGGGGTTGTCAGGAGCTGTTACCTCAGGCCTTTGTTTTATGGCCTTTTAGGAAGTTAAAACTTAACCTAGTTAGATTTGAAGGGGGAAGAGGAGGGGAAGCAGCAGGCGGGCTTATACAGAACAGGCTTCATGGCGCGATAGTTAGGGGGCTTTAGGTTATTACATTTTGAATAAAACGCAATGACTGAAACAATCCTGCCAGCAATCTTCAGTTCATTCAGTGAAGGCTTCCTTGCCAATTAATCTCAAGTACTCCAGCATTTTCTAGCCTAGCTCTACTGCCTATTTCTACATTATTCTTTGTATTTAACTCTTTGGCTTTGTACTTCTTTGGGGCTTGTGACACACAAATTTGGATCTCTGAATAGATTACATGCTCTGATGTCACTGGTATGTGTGACATATCAGTATAATTCATAAAGCTTTCTACTTTTATAATTCATAAAGCTTTCTACTCTCTAGAAAGTTCTAGTTTCTCATGTGTAAAATGAAAATTCTGATCTAGGTGATCTTTGTCAATCTGTGATCATCCCCATCTCAAGACTTCATGATTGCTCAGGCATCTTTTTTACTTTAGTTTATTAGTGTATGTGTGCAGGAAATAGTGTTTACATCCCTCGTGGAAGTTAGCACATGTCCAAGACACATTCCAACTCCTTGTTTTTCATCCCTTATCCTTTTGCTCCCCTCCTGGCCTCTCTCTCCAACTATCCTTCAAAATTGATTGGAAAATAAGGCATTTTCATAACAAGCACCTAAAGCAATTCATGACCACCAAACCAGCACTCCAAAACTTCCCAGGGTGGCCAGCCACCTTCCCAGGAGATTCAGCATGTGACTGTCAATGCTGCTTGTAATCTAACAAAATCACAGTTGAGAGTATGTAGTAACTCCATAAGCAAATGCTGATGTGAGATGTGAAAAGACTTCTAAGGTCATTTTACCTGCTTGTAGAAGTAATCAAATTGTACCATAATTCCAGATAAACTAATTTCCCATTTTAAATTCTGAATCAATGATTTTCAATTTTCCTGAATATTTTTCTTATAAACTTTCTTCCATTTTCATGGCTCTGATATGTAATTTTTCTTCACATTTTAGTAGCTTTGCTTACTTTAAAAAAAATCACTCTTTTGCATCTCAAAAAGCCTTTGTGTCAGTGACTGATTTGGTCTGTTTCTATGAAGCCTTGGAGTGTAAGCACCTTTCATGGCTTTTTTCTTCTCCCAGCTGTATTTGCCTTCTGAGCCTTGGCCAGCAGGGTGGGAAGCCTTGCTTCCTTGGAGGTCCTGACCCTGGGGCCATAAACCTCCCTGATCCTCTCCGACAGGATAAATAGGCCACGCTCTAAACAAAGGCTTTTTGTCCCTGTAGGGACCGCTGCTGCCACCCATGCCTTCCCAGACCTGCCGAGGAGCTCAGAGGCTCCATGTAGCATACGGATCCTCTGTGGACCTTTTTGTTCCACTGATCTCCAAATGTACAAGAATACAGACACAGCAACGCAGATACCCTGCTGCTCACCTCACCCAAGGATCCTCTTCTCCCACTCCTCCCTGAAATGAAAGTTTTACATTATTTTCCTTGTATTTTAAATTTTGTTATTTATGTAACCTGAGATTTATCATTGGAAACACAAAAAAATACCACACAAGAAAGATGGTCCAAGAAGCTGGGATTGTTCACCACCTCAGGTATTCTTAAAAGTGTTACCTGTGAGATACAAGCTCTGCAAAACATGAGTCACCAATTCTGCAGGTAGAAATGTCAGCATCTTTGCTAACTTTGATTTGGAAAGGAAATTTAGATGAGCACGTGGATGTGAGCCATCCATCGCAGACAGAATTCCCCTATAAATGAAACATGCCCCTAAGCTTGAACCACAGGAAAAGTCATGGTTTGCAGCTTTGCAGAGGATTGAATTGCAGTTGCTTTTCCAAACCTCGGCTCTGACAAAGTGGGTTCATACCAAGTGGATTGGGCTAAACTAATCCCTTATTTTAAAGAACACTCTGGCAAACAGTGATACCAGAAACTTACAGGATTGTATTCCCATTTATGAGCTTATTGGTATAAAAATTCTCCTAAAGTCAGAGAAAGAAATACAGTTTTGAAACCACTTCTCTTTGCACCCATCCACATGATATTAAAAAGTCAATTTTGACTCATTTTTTTCAGACAATTATTTGTCCTAACCAGATATGAGAAATTTCATGGGGTCTTTTGCCACCTTTAATTTTGCCCTCCATAGTATTTTTCAGGCTGGTTTCAATGCCTAAACCATGACATTTTTAAAGCATTGTGGTAAGAACACTTAAGATGAGATTCAACCTATATCAATTTGCACTTCCAGTTATTAGCAAGGGGTTTCCATGGGGACTCCCGCACTACTTGGTTCTCTGCCTTGCACCTTGATTTCCTGTGCCCTGGCCCTTTCCCTCCACCCCACACCCCACCCCAGCCAGGACCTGGCACATAAAACCGTAAGTAAGCTTCGACAGCTCCTCCCGGCCCTGCTCCACTCCGTGCCCGCCCCCCCCCCCCCCCCCCGCGCGCGCTTTCCCCTTCCAGCCCACCAAGCTGTGCTCAGCAACCCAGGCTTCCGGGGGTGGTACTGCCTGACATTTGCCGGTGTTGCTTTCTTTTTATTATTTTTAATTTAAAAGAGAAAGAAAATAGAAAAGCAGAACAAAAGGCAAAAGAGACAACAACAAACTCAACACAGTAACAATATAGGCTTTCAAAACGAGATGATAGGAATTTAACAATGGTTATAATAGTGCATAATGTTATCTTCAAAAGAGGTGCTTAGATTACCAGATATAGACACGCAGAATTGATCTGATCATGAGTATTAACTGTTCTTTCCAAGAACAGAATTAGTTGTACAATCACCTTAGCTATCTTATGTGTATATATACAATTTATGTCTTTTTTCTTCCTTCTTTCCTCCATTCGCCTACCCCACTTACTTTTCCCCTTAGAGCAGTTTCTTCTTGCACAGTATTTATCGTAGATTTTGGATCTTATTTGCTCTTTCAGTTTCTTACACTAAGGAGACAACACAGTATTTACACATGTGAGTTTACTTCACTGATTTGTCTGGTGTTTGTGAGCTGCCAGTGATCTCGGATCCCATTCTTCCCGGCAGGGTTTTCTGCCTCAGCTCCGAGGAGTTTTCCTCCTCCTGCAGACTTCGTTTTCCTCCCACAGACTTCAGTTTCCTCCCTCCCACAGACTCCATCGCTGGTGAGTCTCCCTTTCGTGCAGATTTCACTGCAGTTGTCACTTGCACTTTCACTGTTTATTGTCCTGAATGACTAGTATCCATCTGAAGTGGAAGATTAGAGTGAAGTCAGGAGTCTGGCTACTGTACACTGACATCTAAAATGTCCTTCTTTAGGTCTGAACAGTTTTAATGTTTGATTCTGTGAATGGTGCAAGTGTACAAAGGACTGTAGGCGACAAGGCTCTCACAGAGAGAGCTTCAGCAGGGACCAATGCTAGGAACAGCAGTGGCAGCGGAGGAGGGAGAGCTGAGATGCACATGTGCATATGGGCACCAAATCTTTAAAGGTGTGTTTTAATCATGCCACTTCGGCAGCTGCTGATTCCTGAGCGCTCACATCTGTAATTCCGCTTCTGGACTGTAACTGTTCCCGTTCCTAACTCTGTCCATTAGCAACACTAGTGCAGAATAACACAGGGAACCAATGAAGTCACTTTTAGACCCATTTTACTGGTCTTTCTTCTTAAATGATCCTAGCTGAAATAAAGACTTCTACATGATTTCTTGATCAAAAGGGAAATTGTGTAATTTTGGTTCGACAGTGACTTAAGAAAAATGTCTTAATGCCTACAGCTCCTGACTCCGGAGAAATCTAGAGGTACTTGGAAAAATAAGAGCGTATTCTGTGGTGCTCTGTCCATTCATTTTTAACCTGTCTACCTGTCTATCACCAAGCACGTGAAAGGCTACAATTACTCATTCATATTTGAAGACTAAGACATTCAAATGTAAGACAGTTTCACATTTGATCTTCTCCACTGCAAAAGACACACACAACTGAAACAATTGCTTTGCTTCCTGTGTGAGTTAGAAGGCCAGGCAGGTTTCACTCTGAGCTCTACATCTGACACCTTCACACTCACACTGACTTTCCTCCGTGGATAATCACAGGAAGTATGGCTCCTGAAGCCAACGGGCTCCTGAGGCTAAGCACGTTCCCTTTCTTAGTTTTCTGCTGTTCTTACATCTCTCATGAATTTTTATTTGGTATCTCCTATAATTTTACAGAGACAGATGTGCAGTAATATATCTGCAGCCTTCATTTTGCATATTCTGCATCACGTTTTGATGTGGTATTTAACATTATCACATGGCATGGTTTCTCACATTATTTTGATGGGAGTTTTTGGATATTGGCCAAGACTTACATAGCTATAGAATAAAACATTTACATGAGAAAAGAAAACCACTGGGTCGTTTGCTTTTCTGCATAAATAGACCATTTTAAACATGCAAATATATCCCTCTAAAAATGGCAAAGTACAAAAACAGATGAAAAATGAAAGTATACAAATAAAATAAATTTTTAAACAGTTATTTTGTTGCTTGAGATCTTATGTGAGGAAATTAGCAGAACACAGTGGTTCCTGCTTGGCATATGTCAAGCAAGGTGCTGGCCTCTATAACATGGCCAGGGGTGCAAAGGGAAAATAATCAAACAGGAAAACACTGGGGATACCAGTTCGGACCTCACCGCCGTCTTTCCCCAGAACGTTAATCATTTTTGACACCAAAGCTCCAGGAAAATGGGGGAAAGGGAAACCAACAGCAGCTGGGAGAAGGGCTTCCTCCTCCTGGGCTTTTCGGACCAGCCCCAGCTTGAGAGGCTCCTCTTTGTCATCATTCTGCACTTCTACCTCCTGAACCTGCTGGGGAACATGGCCATCATCCTAGTGTCCTGCCTGGACCCCAAGCTCCACACTCCCATGTACTTCTTTCTCAGCAACCTCTCCTTCGTGGACATCTGCTTCGCCACCAGCGTTGCCCCACAGCTCCTGGTCACCATGAACAAGAAGGACAAAACTATGAGCTACGGTGGCTGCGTGGCCCAGCTCTACGTGGCCATGGGCTTGGGCTCGTCCGAGTGCATCCTGCTGGCAGTCATGGCTTATGACCGCTACGCTGCCATCTGCCTGCCGCTGCGCTACATGGCCGTCATGAACCCACGGCTCTGCGCGTCCCTGGCCAGCACGGCATGGCTCAGTGGCCTGGTGACATCCCTCATCCAGTGCTCCCTCACACTGCAGCTGCCCCTCTGCGGGCACCGCAGGCTGAACCACATTTTCTGTGAGGTGCCTGTGCTCATCAAGCTGGCCTGTGTGGACACTGCACTCAACGAGGTGGAGCTTTTTGTGGCCAGTGTGGTCTTCCTGATTGTCCCCGTGTCCTTCATCTTAGTCACCTACGGTTTTATAACCCAAGCTGTGCTGAGGATCAAATCAGCTGCAGGGCGCAAAAAGGCCTTCGGGACCTGCTCCTCTCACCTGCTGGTGGTCGTCATTTTCTACGGGACCATCATCTTCATGTACCTGCAGCCAGCCAAGAGCAGCTCCAAAAACCAGGGGAAGTTCGTCTCCCTGTTTTACACTATAGTCACCCCACTTTTAAACCCCATTATCTATACTCTGAGGAACAAAGACGTCAGAGGAGCTTTGAGGGCCATGATTGTGGGAAACACTTTGAGGCCAGGAAGACCCTGAGCCACGGGGCCCACCTTCCATGGCCGGACTCAGTCCAGGAGCTCTCTGGTCTGAGTGCACCTCTCGTGCACAATTCCACAGTGACTATGAAGATACCTGAAGCCACACAGAGCCAAACTACTCATGCTAAACTGCAAGCAGCAGCCTCCTGCATCCCAGGATTCTATGCTCGCTCTGCAGAAAGCGCTTCGCCTCCCCTCAGCCACGCCACTCACATTCACGCATGCATCCTCGCTGCCTCGTGTCATGTGAATGCTACTGATCCCTAAAATCTCAGCTAATGTGGCCTGCACCCTCCGGCTTTCTTGAAACACCACCTTCTTCACACTGAACAGAATTGCTTTATGACGTACTGCCCACAGCACGTGACACACACATATCTCCACTTTTTCTCATGCCTTATACACTCGTGTATGGCTACATAAAGTAGTATATATGTGTGCTGGGCACCTTCATATGCATGTAAGCACACTGTGACATAATATCACAGGCTCCCCGACACCGTATTGCTTTGAACTAGAGACTGCCTGTGCCTCGCTGTTCACGCAGGTACTTGTACAACGTTTCACACACAGCCTAGTGAAAGGGTTATGATGCGTTAGCGTCACAAAACTATGAGTGTCATGTTTTGTCACAGGAATCAGATACATAGACTTTCATTAGTGCAGTTCGTGTGTTTTCAAGACTAATGCTCCTTTTTGTGGAAGTTTTTAAAAATTGAAAGTGCAATGTAACAATGTCTATAGACCATTCATAAGCTCTACCAGGAAGTAGATGCTTCTGTCCTGCAGCTCCAAAGGTGATTTCATGCCTCAATAAATTAAGACAGGGGCTGAGGATTTAGCTCAGCGGCATAAGCTCCTGCCTTGCGAGCAGGCAGTCGTGAGTTCGATCCCCGGTACCGATAAAAAGGAAAAAGACAATAAATTAATTAATTAAGACAATGCTTCCAGATTGTGTCAATAAGGAGGGATAGCAGGGAAAAATGATAAAGCACAGTTTCCTGAGGTGAAAATAAAATGTCATAAAATTCACAGGAATAATCTGTGTAATGAACGGGGTAAATCAACACAAAAAACAAATATTATGAACTACACACATCATAGCATAAATAAAAACAAAAGTATGCTCTTGATGAAGGAAAACAAACATTGATGATAAGATAGATTTGTGTACAATGTTTCATTAGTCACCATAGATTATACAATTAATAGGTACAATTTTGCTCATAACAATTTCCAAACTTAGTTGTCTTTTAAAAACATATATTTATTTCTTCTGTACGGGCCTCCAGGATGGCTTGGATAGTTCTACTTAAGAGGTTATATTTAATTCTGCTCTGCATGCTTGAATTTGGTGGGTACCCAGAGCATGCCATTCTATCAGGTAGGGGCAAGAAAATGAGCAGGTCACGTACATGTATGGCTCCTGTCAGAGATGGAAAACATTCCATCGACCACAATTATTTGGCCAAAGTAAGCTGTGTTTCCACGGCCAAAGTCACTGGCGTAAGACCAGAGCGGGGACAATATGCATGCAACATGGCTTCCGCTGTGTCGGTTATTGAGAAGATGAAAACCACAGGCACTTAATGCAGAGCTGCCAGAGAGTAACACGGAGAGGGCTGGCAGCGCCGGGCAGCACCCTGAACTCTCAGCACGGTAATGGGGGAAACTTGCCCAAGGAAACAGTTAGATAGCACGTACTGAAGATAGACAGGAGGAAAGCACACACTTCATTTTATTGCTGTTCACAACCATTCTTTCTGCTCTCATTTCCCTTTCAAGAGTCCCAGTTTGGGCGGTAATACAAATGCTTATGTTATGTGAAATCTAGCAGTTGGTCTTCCAAATATATTTCCAACCAAAATGCACATGTACTGTACATTCATCAAGATAAATGGATATAGCCTGAGGTCAAAATCTTAAGTAAAATAAACTGGACACACATGTAAATACCACACTGTTTCTCTGTGTGAGAAACCAAAAGTGCAAATGAGGACCCAAATGTATAACAGGTATTGTGAAATCAGGAGAATATGTTCAAATGGGGAGAGGAGAAGGAAAGATGGGGGAAGTAAAAGAAAAAGGGAAAACAGGGAAACAAAGTGTTCATAAGAGGCCGGGCTGAGGGGAGAGGAGGGGAATGGGAAAAAGAAGAAACAAGTTCTATCATGTCCAGCTACAAACTCTGTGATGAATATGATCATTATTTATACCTAAAATGTACCAATAAAATCTGATTGAAAAAATTTTAAATAAATGTTAAAAAGGATGCACCAAGCACCTCATTTTTCACCAACACTAGACTGCATTGATATAATGTGATTTACCAATAAAAAGAACACTATATGAAAAGAAAAATAAAATGTGTCCAAAAAAGAATACACAACAAAAATAAAGTATGTCCCTGAGAAAAAGGGTAGACGATTCTCACTAATACTCTGTTGAGCCATGTGCAGAAAATAGACCATTATTTTAGTTCAACAAGACTGTTACTAGTGTAAAGAAAAGCTGCTAAGTTTTGTTTGTCCATTTCATCTTCAATAATTTCAAATTCTACTTCCAAACTTTTGAACCATTTGATTACCAAATTTTCAGGATTCTGAGTTCTTAAAAATTCAAACAATCAATTTTAAATGATGGAGAGGAGAAAATAAATGAAAACCACACACTAAAACTGGAAAACCTCCAGGCAAGTCATGTCAGCAAGGTGACAGAATGGGGTTCCCAGCTCACATGGCCCTGCGCTGCACTGAGGCAGCTGTCCTCGGCAGTGTGCCATGGGACTCTGAGGCAAATGCGAATCATGACAAAGCCTGGTGAAGCCCAAAGCTGCTATTTTGGAGAAGCAGAGCTAGACTCACAAAAGATTCACTGAATGTGCCAAAGTCTCCAAAATGTGCTCATACATTTGCTGCTGTAGCAGCCGTTCTTGGGTTTGACATGAGTCACCTGAGATCTAGTCTACCCTTAATGTCATCGCCCCTGAGCCTCACTCCCCTGACCCCTAAGCTGACACATCCTCATGCCCTGTTAGAGCTGCTGATGCCGACACATACCCGTGAGAACGGAACATGCCCGATGGCAAAGGGATAGGGACAGGGAGGTCACTTTCAACTGCTCATAGGCACCTGTGATATCGTTCCACTGTCGTGTGTGTGTGTGTGTATGAGAGAGAGAGAGAGAGAGAGAGAGAGAGAGAGAGAGAGAGAGGATGTGTTTGCTTTACCTGCTAATGATGCACACAAGAACAAACCAGACGCTGTGCTGTTCAAAACCAGTCACAGGAGCCACAGGCATAAGGATGAAGACAAGCAAGTCCTATAGCGCCACCTTCAGCTGTCCGCTAGACTCTGCAAATACTCACCGGGAAATCATTCCTAGTCTTCCTGTGGAGACGGACCCCAGGCAGACCGCAAGGAAGTAAATTCAGAAGTCTCAGACACTTTATCCAGGGTGGAGGAGGCTTAGATTATAAAGACTAAAGATTAAAGTACTAAGGAGTATAAGTTCATGCTGGCCACTTCTAGGAGAACATATGTTCTTCATAACTGATGAGCATGGCACCACTGGTTCGCAGTGGTTTGCATTAGCTCTGTGAGTTAGAACACCAGCACATTTAGTGCCCACTTTCACCTAGGATCTTCATTCTCTAATGTTCTTGGTCCTGCTGAAGCACTTCAGTATATAAAAAGCACCGCAATATTAATAGCCAAGAGAAAAGCCACAACCACGTGTACACTGGTCTTCACCATCAGTGTGGTACAGTTTAAAAAAAAAGCTACCATGCTCTTCAGCAAAGAAAAAATGACACCACTGAAAATGTCCATGGCTGTAGGGCTTGATACCTAAACTACTGAAGAATCCAAAGAAGCTCAGTGTAGAGAACCCACACAGGAAAGCCAAGGGGGCAGAAGGAGCCCCCACCCCAAGGGACAATAGCTACACTCAGAGCCTATCTGTCCCAGGAAGCCACTATCATGCTTGACATTGGATTAACTCTGAGCAAGACAGAAAGAGCTCAGCACAGAGCACGGGAACACAGCCCAGCAATGCAGTGCCAAAATGCAAACCCCTCCAAGCACATGGCCTTAGCACCATAAAACACCCCCAACTTGGGGCACCAGATGAATGTAAAAACAAAAAGCTTAGTATTCACCATTCATTCAAGACCTTGAACAACAAGTTATTGGGTATCGAGGCAGGAGATTAGTTTATTTTAGTGAATTCTATTAAAACATAGCACAGATCTGCTGAGCACATTCGCTGAGGGCTTTTGGGGTGTTTGTTTGTTTGTTTGTTTGTTTTGTTTTTTTAACACTAAATGGAAATCTGACTGTCACCATAGAAGCCATCACAAAGCCCAGACTACAAAGGGACTCAGGATTGGAAAAACTGGCATTGGGCTTTCAAGTGCCTAAATGTGTCCTATCCATTTTTAAGTTTAGGGTTCTTTCTTGTTTGGTTGGTTGGGGATTTTTGGTACTGGGAAACAGTCAAACTCACGATCTCACACTTGCCAGGCTGGCTAGTGGAAAGGGTTCTAAACCCATCCTCTAACCTTGGTTTGTAACAGTAGCTGAGGGCTAGCTAGCCAATCACAAGGAGCCAGTTATTCAAAGAAGACTGACATAAGCCAATCAGGCTGAGTATGTCTGCACCTCACTTCCTGTTTCTGCACCTCACTTCCTGTTTCTGTGGGACACTTCCTTTGTCCTGCCTACAATATGATTCCCATGAGAAGCAGTGAAGTCTCCTGACCTATCTTCAGTCCCGAGAGCTGCCTGCTTCTAGAATTGTAAATAAAGTTATTATTGCTAAAATAATATTTATTATACTTTAGTTGTTGAACAAAAGAAGCATTCCCTGGACAGTGCACCATGGAGTGTTCAGGGTGAAGACAACCCCATGGCTTGAACCCGAGGGACACTACTTTTTGTGATCCTCTTCTCCCAAGCTCCACAGCTTAGCCTTGTACAGAGTGATGTCATTGTACACCCTGAAGTGGTTTAGCCTGCGGTCCTGGCGGTCTGGGTTGACCTAGAGGAGAGTGCAGGGTGAAGAGGAGATGGGTTTGAGTCAGTTGGACCCTGCACGCCTTGCTTCCATCACAGTCTCCTTCCCACAGATTCTCCTAAGGACCAAACTCCATTGAGGATGGATGGAACGCTTTCCAAGCAGGGTGACAAGCCAGGTCCCTGGAGCGGGGCAGGAGAACTGGAGTGCAGACTCCTTGGGCAGGAAGAACACCCGAACCATGCTCAGTGGATGACCTTTCCTAGGATGGAGCCGAGGAGCTGGGAGCAGCACCAGATAGGTTCCCGGCTGGGCTCTGTCCCTTTCTCTTGACTTCTCCAATGACCTCACAATGGTGCATGCCACATTTATGGCACAGCAACCATGTGCTGGGTACTGAGCTAGGTGCTGTGCAGTATTACCTCATTCCTCCTAAAGATCCTACCATGTAGGCCCTAATACCTCCATCTCATCAAAGGAAAGAGTCAGAAAGTGACTCACTTGCCCAGGGCCACACAGCTAGATGGTAGAAGCCAGAATTCAAACCAAGTGAGTCTTGGCTTCCCACCTGGTCCTCTCCAGCCCCCATGGCCTAGCATCTCTTCCTGGTTACCAAGGGAACAAGCCACACTTACCAAGGGCTCTGAGTCCCAGCCAATCTCCTGGCTTTCCGTCTGGGTCTCTGGATATTTCTTCCTTGGCCCCTGAGCAGCGTGGTAGATGAGATTCAGAAACCTTACTGGGGGAGGAAATGCGTCAGGACCAGTAAGCATGCAGATGACATCTTTCACTGCAGCCCAGGGTGCCATAGACACAGAGCCCAGGCCAGGAGACAGTGTGCTCAGTGCTCTACACCCCTCTCAGCAAAGGTGTTGCGTACAAACAGTGTCTCCCTGGCATTGTTTTGGGGCTGGCTGAGCAACACAGACCCAGCCCTGCTCTTCTGGAAGCTTAAGATCTAGACTGGGAGCACACATGCACACGCACACACACACACTGTACAGGAAACAAACAGTCCCAAGAGGGCAGACATGATGGGTGTTCCCAGGATTGGGGGGCAGATCAGCAACTCCAGACAGGCAGGGAAGCCAAGGCCTGCAGGTGGCACGCAGGTGTGGGCCACAGAAGAGCTGAGGAAAAGCCCCCGAGGCAGTGAGATCAGAGACCACAGCACCCACAGCCAGCAGACCATGTCGGTGTTACTCTTCTGTGAACCTTGCCCATAGCTCAGGGTGTCCCTACACGGCTCGTCCCCTTGGGTCTCCTCTTAGAGCAGCACATCCGGCAGCCTGACAGGAGGAGGCACCTGCTCCTGCGCCCACACCCACACACTTGTCCAGGCATTCACAGGTCTGCTTCTCGGTCCCTCTCCATCCCAGATGAGCCCCACCCAGCCCAGCACAGGGACACCTCGTGGTAAAAATGGAAGCGGTAAGCACTTGCCCAGACCATGTACCACGTGCTGCTCTAACACCTGCAGCGCTTCCTCAGTCCTCACAGCAACCCTCAAGGGGGGCGGGAGGTGAAAGATTCGCTGAAAGTCACACAGCTGATGAGGGACCAAATGAGGATTTGAATCCACCAGTTTGACTCCAGGCCTTGTGCTTCTGATACCCCAACCTCTGATGACTGAGGGAGTGAATGGGATGCTTGGTGTTATGGTTGATACACTGTGTCAACTTGAGCAGCTTAGAAGTTTAACTGAGAGACTCAGCAGGGAGCCAGGATCCTCCTTTGTAAATATCTTTAGCCTGTGCAAGAGGAGGGCACAGAGGAGGTGTGAGTGCTGCACCTGCCCTGGAGATGGGGTGGCCTCTGTACAATATAAGGGAGGAGAAGAGGCTTATTCTCCCCGGTTTTGCTCTGGCTGCTTTTCCTAGCTGCTGCCTTGAAGTGTTGCCCCTGTGCCATGCCACCCTGCTTTGGAGCCAGCTGATTATGGACTGAAACTTCCAAAAGCTATAAGCCAAATAAACCCTTCCTTCCCGAATTCTGGGTTTCAGGTGTTTTGTCTCAGTAACGAGAGAAAAGTAACCAAAACACTTGGGTCAGTCAGAACCTATCTGCTGGCATGACAGTTGGTGAACACGCAGTGTGGTTGAATACCCCAGGCTCTGGTGAGCGTGGCTACTTGCAGTCCCGTTTCCGGTCTCCACAGAGGACCCTGATGCTTGGCCCAAGGTGACACTGCTGGGAGGTCCCACTCATCCGCCAACCTCTCTGCCCTTTGATCCATCGTATCCTCAAAGCCAGGACTTACCATCTGCAGGCTCCTCCAGGTTATCATGCCATGACATGGGCTTCCTGGCAATGGGGTGAACTAGACAGAAACAGTGACAGGTCTTGTTAGAACAGGAGCTCGTCTTTCTCTCGGCCACCTGAGGCCAGGCACCCCCTTAGCACTTCCTGTTCCCCAGGACTGGTCACATGTCAGGTACTGTGCTGGGCTCTGGGGAACATGTTTGACTGAGGCTTTCCTGGCCTAGTACTATCAAGTGGCCAGTGGCCACAAGTAGTGACTTGAACAATGTGAAGCTTTAGACCTAGCAGTCTCTGTTCAGAGGTGGAACTTTGGGAGCTGATTGGATCACGGGATGCTGTACTCATCCTGGGATTCCTCCACTGATGACTTTATGGCCAATTTGCTGTTAGAAGGCAAGGCCTGGGTGGAGGCGCAGCCTGGTTGGAGGTGGGTCACTGGAGAAGCAGTCTGGAGAGATTGATTCTTGTCCCCAGCTCTTCCTCTCTCTCTCGCTGCTTCCCAGCCACCCTGATATAGACATGACCTCCTTTCCTCCTCCAGAGCCCTCCACTGCTATTGCTACCTTGGAACCAGCCAACCATAGACTGAACCCATGGAAGCTGTGAGCCCTAGAACCCCGTGCTCCTTACAGTGGTGGAGTCAGGTATTTTGTCCCAAGAGAAGGTGCTTACTACCTGCACCACATCTAAAACAGAGACTGTGTTAGTTCTGAGCAATAGAAGTCACGTTTTCTCCAGACTGTCACCACCATGGACAGCAGTGTCAGAGGTATGGAAGCTGGGGAGAAAGTCCCAAAACCATGGCTATGTTGGCGAAGCTGTGGGCAGAAGCAGGGTGTGTCCACGGAATCCACTCACTGAGAAAGGGTGGACTAGAAAGGAGAAGGGCATAGGTGGACAGAAGGAGCTGGGTGAGTGGGCAGGTGGGATGGGGTGGGGCTAGGTGGGCAGTGGGGCCAGATCCAGGGGGCCTCACAGGCAGACTGAGGTATACTTAATACACAGTTGTGGGGCACTGCGGGGCTTGGACAGCCACAGGTCCAGTGAGCCGGTGAGTGAGAAAGGAGAGGAGGTGGGAGACATGAGACCATCAGACACTGCAGACTCAGGAGTGAGGGGGGAGAGGGCCTTGGGTGGCTGGAGGGTTAGGGTTAGGTGACCTGCGCTGAGGCTGGACCAGGCTGAAGCAAGAGAGCCGCTGAGGGGCAGCAGGACTGGGGCTGCAGAGTGGTGGGTTGTAGTGTATGCAAGTGCGGGAAAGGCGCCAATGCCTCCAGCTTGATTGCTGAGGCAGGAGGCCCTTCCAGGCCTCCCCAGAAGGCAGTGTGGGCGCGGTGGCATCGGGCTGGGGCTCCAGAGGAGGCCGGGGCCGAAGGGGGTGCTGAGCTTACAGGATCAGAAAACACCACCGGAAAATGCAAGGGCGGGCAGTCGGGGTGGGGGGCAGTCACTCCCCGGGGTCAGAGCACAGGGGGCACCAAAGACATCAGAAGCCAGAGAGAAGGAGGGAGGGAAAGGAACTGAAAGCCTTTAGATAATATGAGAAGCCTGAAAAACTTTACAAAAAAAATTCTTCATCATATTAAAAAGATCCCAAAATACTATCAAAATAGTCTGCAAAATACAATTATTTCAAATCCAACTACAAAAACCTGTTTGCTTTCTGTCTGCATGCCCAGTCCTGGCCGGCAGTGGGAAACATTACCATCCGGAGTCCACCTGGGTGATCTGGGTGCAGAGAGGGCGACAGCACTGTCCCCTCCGCCCGCTCCCCAGTTCGCCCCCCCCCCACCCAGCCCTCACCCTTGCGCAGGGGGTTCACGTGGTACTGCGTGCACAACTTCTGCGTCCGGAGCTCCTTGAGGTACAGTTCCCGCAAGATCTGGTTCTGATGCACCTCATCCTGGGCCACTTTGTCCCTCTGGCGCGCTGCCATGGTCCGCGCAGCTCGCTCCCAGCCTTCGGCGGCGTCCCTGGCAACCACGTCCCGCTGTTTCCAGGCAACCGCGTCCCTCTGTGTGTCCAGGCAACGGCCAAGGCGCTGGCTAGATTCCACCAGGTCGCCTCTTTCCCTGCGCGGATCCTCGCCAGGTGCTGGAGTCGCGTTTTTCCCCAGCTCGAATTTGGGGAAAAGATTTGGGGAGGAGTCAGAAGCTTCTCCCACTGTAAAGCAGGCTCAGGATAAGCCACGCCTTCCCGTGAGCCAGCGGTGGGGCTGGGAAACCCCTCCCCCTCGGTAAGCAACTGGCTGATTGGGAGGACGGAGGGTGAGGTGACAGCAACCGAGGAAAAGGAACAGCTCTGTGCTTGTGTTGTTCCGCTGGCTCTGCTGGCCTGGGGCTGGGGTCTGGACCTCTACCTGGAGGACGGGATGCGCACTGTGTCAGTGTGGGGTTTCCTCCTGCCTTGATTTTGAAATCCGAAGTTTTGTTCTGTTTTCCGGTTTTGTTTCATCCCTGTGTCTGGTAACCTGAGCAGCTATTTTGAAGATAACAGTGTGCAGTATCACAACCACTGTTAAATTCCTATTATTGTGAAACCTGCATGGCTATTGCTGCCTTATGGTGGTGGTGGTGGTGATTTTGCTTTTGCTGTTGTTGTTTCTTAGGTATGTTTGCTTCTTGATTTTTCTGGGTTTTTTTTTTTCTCTTTCAAGTAATTTAAAAAAAAACAAAAACAAAAACATGCTCAGAATTAAAATCCAGTGGCACACACACACACACACACACACACACACACACACACAATCTCATCCTGACCACCCTGGTAACAGCCAGAATGACCTTTTCCTAATCTGTGCAACCTGACAACTTTATCTGTTTTTAATTTTTACTTGTAGAAAACTTCCTGTCTTGGCGACTTTTAAGTAAATGCACAGGTGCAGGCGACATGGATCTCCACGTCGGGAAAGTAACCAGCAGGGTCCCCTCCAGGCCTGGCAGTGCCATCTGCCCCCTCGTCGCTGAGTCTGAGCACCCCAGACCCCTTGGATAATACGGTATAGCATTTTAAACACAAGAGCAGAGTCACTCGGAGAAAGATGCCACCAGCTGCAGTCAGCACCCAACCACTGTGAATGTCACTCATTCGTTCATTTGTGGGTGACATGGTTTGCTCCAGGGTTTTCTGCCCACACGAAAAGGCAGCACCCGCCCCAGACCTCATCTGGAAGCACAGACAGCGCCCCACCCTGGCTGGGCTGCAACAGATCTGTCAAGAACTATCACCGTGACCCCAGCCTGCTCCCACATCCCCACCAGTCTTCTGCCTGAGTCTGAGGAGCAAAGGAGCCACCCTCGCACCACAAGACCACCTTAGGGTTAGGATTAGGGTTATGGTTATGGTTAGGGTTAGGGCTGTGTCTGTGCCCTGCTGCCTGGCAGCCTCCAGCCCGGGCCCCAGGATGGGGGGCTCAGCAGTGCAACCACTCCACATTGACTTCATGCTTGGCAGGAGTGATCAGAGAGACCCTGAAGGAGTCATAGCCCCCACCCCTCATTCTTAGGTCTCCTGGGGCAGATGTGGGCTTTGAAGCTGTCACAGCCCAGTGATGCCTGGGGCTGGGTTCCGCAACCCTGGTCATCCCATTGGTGAGTTCATAAGGCCCATCCTCGCTTAGGGAGACGGATCCTCTCTCCTGGAGATGGTGAACTCTGAGAAATGCCACTAAGTCAGGCCCCAGGACGCTCTGCCTTCTCACCTGAGTCCTTTAGGGCTGATTTCTCTCAAAATCTCCAGGTTCCTTCTCAGTTGGGATCAGACGGAGAGATCAGGCCAGCTAAAGAACACATTGTCTCTGCCCACAGCAGACACCACCCCTGCAGTCTGGCCAGCTCTGGCCAGCAGTCAAGCTGGCTTCTGCATTCGGTTCCCTTGGCTGTACTACTCCATGGTGAATAAAGTAATCATTCTAAAATGTCCATAAGAAGCCCTGACATGTAGAGGGAAGTATTCTTAGTCCTCTTCATTTCCATATAAATTACAAACAGCTTGTCACATTCCCCAAAACCCTCTGCTCGGTTTGTGACTGAGGTCACCCTGACTCAGCCTATGCATCAGTAGAGTACTTGGGAAGAGGCATTGCTGCTCCTCTGGTGCTGTCACCCAGCAGCCTGGCCCACCTTTTCTTTCTGGGAGGAGGCAGGAGCTAAAGCTAGAAGTCAAGAGGGGTAAGAGCTTGTGGTGGGGCCAGAACAGAGGAGGAGCAGGACGGAGGAGACAGAGGATTCCATGTGGTCTTTTCCAGGCTCTAGATGGAAATTGGATGTCACTGAAGGCCGGGGTGTGGCTCAGGGCCCAGACTGGCCAGCCTGCGACAGGCCCTGGCTTTTGTGCCCTGCACTGCAGACACAAGACAAAATCCCAGACCATTGCTCCCAAGCAGCTATGCTTTAAAAAGTAGAAAATATGGGAGGAGCAACACTCGAGGGTTAAGATTTGAGGAGCACTGGCTTTGTGAAAGTTCTGGGGGCCCAGGATGGCAAGGTGAATTCGGAAGCTAATAATGGGGATCCAGCCATGAAGGTAGAGTACCCCATAATTCCAGCCATTCAGGAGGCTGAGGCAGGATTGTCAGTTCCAGGTGAGCCTGGGCAACATAGTGATACTATTTCAAAACCAAAAACAAACAAAAAAGACATCAGCAGCTCTGTGGGCTGCGGGTAAAGAGGGGACATGTCCCCCATACAGAGGACAGCCATGGGGATGCTGTTGGCCCTAGGATGGAGAAGCACTGGTGAGTTGGACCTGCCTCGGAGTACTGATGGGCTGAGGTGTCAGATTTGCAGATCATATCACCACACCATCTCCCCAAGTGGACCAGGTCCAGTGACCCACTGGCCACAGTCCAGGACCTGGGCAGGACACAGGCACAGCCACTACGCCCTGCCAACACTGTTTCCAACACAAATCAGCACATGCCCCGTCCTTGTCGGGGTAACGCTGTGGACTCCCAGCCCCCCCCCCCTGCCCTGCCTGGGCCTCCCGTGGCTCCCTGTGGCACTTCAGGTCAGCCCTGAGCCTGGACCTGGCGCCAGACACCCTCCCCCATGCACCCGGTCCTCTCAGGAGGCCTCTCCGCCTCGCAGCCCTGGTGAGGAACTTCAGGTCCTGCAGGCTTGGACCTCATGTCCTGACTCTGGACCTGTGCCAGAACCACCCTGCATGGGCTGGGTCAGGGCTCAGGGATGGGGCTTCAAAGCCTTGTGTTCCACCCCAGTGTGGCAAATAAAGTGACATCAGCTGCCCATGTGCTTTCCATGGTGACAACAGGCTTCTCACCGCATCCCCTCACTTCCCTCACACCAGGTGCTACCCAAAAGTTCTTGCAACATGTGACAGTTCTGCAGCATCTCTGTAGGGACCCGAGGCAGGGACCGCACTAGTCAGTATCGCCTGTGTTAGGGTTCGGGTTAGGGTTAGGGTTAGGGTTAGGGATAGGGTTCAGGTTAGGGTTAGCTTCTGTCCTCTCCAGGGCCTCGGCAACAGTGGCAGGAGCAGGCAGCTCTCACTCCTCACCATTCCACACCTGGAATCCCATTGCATGCTTCTTGTTAAAGATCAGTATCTCAAGGCTGTGTACTTGCTTTGTTTTGTGTCTCCCTAAAGATAATGAGAAGGCTCCTTAGTGTGGGAGGAATTGATGAATGAATGAATGAGTGAATGAATGAAATTTTGTGGCTTCAGGAATATAAGGAATTGATTGTCCAGGCATGGTGATGCACACCTGTGTTACCAGCACTCGGGGAGGCTGAGGCAGGGTGGTTGCAAGTTCAAGCCCAGCCTGGGCAGCTTGAGACCCTGTTTCAAAACAAAAAGAACTGGGGGATGTTCAGTCATCAGTACTGAAAAAACAAAAGCTAGAATTAGAGATTCCACGACACAGCCATTCAGAGGAAATGAACGTGTTCTACAGTGCGGCATCCATTTTACTTTATTGTCACTGTTAGGTCTTAGAAAAAGGCGACGGGGGTGCACGAGGGGGTTGGACGAGGGGGGTGGACAGGGGAGTGGACAGAAGGCGGTGAGTGCCAGCTGGAGCCCGTGCAACCCAAGGAGGCGAGGATCCGCTCAAGCTGCACCCGCCCTGGTCTGGGGGAAGGCGGCCTAGACCCGATCCTGTGACCCCCAAACCCGGGAGAGCAGAACAGCAGCTCTGAGGCTCCTTGCAGTGGACCCCAAACCTCGAGGCCAGGACGAGACTGCCCTGCGCATTAGTGTGCTCTCAGCCCAGCAGGGACAGACAGACGGGCGCAGGATGGGTGGAGGGACAGACAGACAGATAGATGGGTGTGAATGGGCAAATGGGAGGATACGTGGTCGGTGAGGCTGGATGGACGCAAGCAAGGGGTTGCAGACTGGAAGAGACAGGTCCCGGAGCTGTCATACCCTGTCGGGCCAGGCGGTGGCAGCAGAGCAGCGTTTCTGAGATAGCGGCTCAGGCTGATCGCTTTAGGCCCAGGGACCTCGCAGGCCGAGTACAGGTGACTTTTGGGATGCGCGTCCCCAGGGATTTTAGAAAGGGCGCGGCGAGACCAGAAGGCTGGGTCCCGGGCCGAAACCAGCTCTGCAGGGCACCGCGCCGAGGTTCCAGCCGCCTGGGAAAGGATACAAGGCGGGGAGACCGCGGAGGGCGGAGCCCCGCGCTCACCCTGCTGCCTGCTAGCAGGCGGAGGCGCTGACCAGAGGGCCCGGGAATCGTGGGTCTCCCAGGACTGTGGTGGGAGATCGAGGGGCAGAGAGCAGGGTGGAGGCTTGTGCCTGCATGCGACCCTGGAACGCTGGGTGGCTGAGGCAGGAGAGTCCCACATCTGAGCCCAATCTGGGCAATTTAGGAATCCAAGGGTTGCAGATGGCCTGTGTTTAATCCCCGGTCCTGGAAAAGAAAAAGAGAAAAGAAAGAAAAGAGAAAAGAGAAGAGAAGACGAAAGAGACAGGCAGGCCGGCAGGCAGGCAACAGTTTGGCTAGCTGAGGGTTTGCTCGGGTTTATGTGCTGAGAACCGCAGACCCCGAGATGAGCCCAGCCAGAGCTTGACCATCCGATGCAGGCACAGCGGTCTTCGGATTTAACTCATGCAGGGCACTTGGACAAAGCCTAGAACTAGGCTGTGCACCCCCAGCCGCTGCCCGTGGACCGCTCGAGGCACACGCTAAGCCTTTACCCCGCTTAGGATCGCGACTGCTTTGGGGGCCAGGCCTAAGGAGTAATTTAGGCACCATGAGGTCCTGCGGGGTTGGCCCTCATGAGGACGCCCGGGACCCCAACGATAGGACAAGTGGACACGGGCAGAGGGCGTGAGGACCCAGGAGGACACAACCGCAGCCAGAGAGGCTGGAAGCACCCACCCCACCCCACTGCCCACTCCGGCTTCTGGCTGCCCCGCCCCCGCCCCTCCTCTCACTCCCTCACCCCCTCCCTTTCCCGGGCTCAGTCAGTTTCTGCTGTTCCTGCGCTCTACTGCCCCACTGCGCGCATCCTGGTGCTTTTTCATTTTTTTGAGACAGGATCTCACTAAGTCTAGAGGTCCGGGCTGGCCTCGCTGTGCTCCCATCGTCCTGCCTCAGCCTCCCAGAGTGCTGGGGTTCCAGGTGCAGGATTCAGTCCTGGAAGCTGCCAGGCTGACACAGCAGCCCTCGCAAGCCAGCTCAGCCTTGCTCTGTGCCCACACGTGGGTGTTTTAAGCCTGGCAGCACCAGGTTTACAGCGGGTGGCGGCGGTGCTGCAGCGAGCATGGGACTCTTTTTATGCTTGAAGCCTCCTCTATAAGGTGGGGGAGCAGAAGGGACCCCGAGGGCAGCCCGGGGCATTGGCCGGCTGCTCCTTTCCATCCCGGCCAAGTCCATGCAGTCACCTATTCTAGCCCCCACCCTACCCCAAACACCGGCCTTCGCAGATTCTTGATCCTGTACTCCTGGGGTCCCTGCAGCTCCACAGCAGCAGGAGCTCCCGTGTGCATTTCCAGAGGGTTTGGGGCGGGCTGGAGTGATGCCAACTGGCTGAGCACACGCAGGGCCCCTCCTCACCCCGGGTGGTGCCAGCTGGTGCCTGCAACGGCTCCAAGCGCACAGCTGGCCCAGGCTCCCGGGCCCTGGAGAGCTGCCAGGGCCTGGACGGGGTTTCTCACAGCAGATGCTCAGAGGCACCCAGACGGGTCTTTCTTTTCTTTCTTTTTTTCCACTATGTTATTATGTTTCTTCAGATTTTTTAAGGTTTGATTGACAAATATGGGTCATTTTCATCTGGCAGAAAGTGCTTCCCAACGTGCACCATAATCTATAGTGTCTGGATTTTTAAAGAAATACATGACAGCACTAGGCAGGGTGCAGCAGGCAGTGTGTGAGCCTCTGACCAGCAATCTGGACTCCGGCTGAGCCCCTTGACTGTGACCCAAGGGGACTCTGTCCCGAATGCTCAGAGTGAACGCAGAGGCCACATCAGAGCTTCCACCCAGCCACATCCCGCACTGTGCTGCACACAGCACCGCCTTCGGGAGCCCAGGGAACATTCAGTGGGCTTCCGGGCCAGCACCAGCGATTAGCCTTTAATTGGCATCTTGGGGACGGCTCTGCATGCAGCTGAAGGACCAGGCTGCCCTCACCGTGGGCGCCCTCGCCTTCCGCCCACTGAGCTCAGGGAGCCATCTGCTAACCGCCGGCTCCCCGGCAGCACTCGCATCTCCAGCCAAGTACTCCTGCCAAAGGCATCAGCAGCTCATCGGAAAATCGCTTCTCACTGCCGGCTTCCCCCTAATTATCAATGCCGCAGAATCAATTCAGAATATTTAGAAAATGCTGAAAAGTATAAAGGAAGAAATAATCCTGCCTCTTGGAAATGATCAGTGTTAACGTCTTGGAAAATGTAATTCCACTTTTGTGTAGTCGCTTCTGCCATGTACAGTGTCTGTCGTTGTCCTCCCTGGGTCCATCGCAGGGACAGAGCATGAGTCCCAGGATGGCCCGAGTCACCTCCGGAGCCCAGACTCTGTCCTTCCACCTCACTCTTATCTCAGGGCACCCTTGTGATAACCCAGCACCCCTTCTCGGTCAACAGCCACTGCACTGGGCCTGGGCTCTTCAGCTGAGCTAACAGAGTGGATTCACACAGATAAGCGACGGCAGGCGTGTCATGTGGGAAACACACACCATGGCAGCTGGACTGATGGGTGAATGTGGGCAGGAGCCTCCACGGTGCCCCAGTCAGGGCCTTCCCTCCACACTCCCTGGTATTCCATCTTGTTCCTGTCCTCCTCAGAGAGAAGCAAGCTGTATCCACTCATCTTTCTCAGACCTAAAACCAGAGTTTCCTTTCCAAGTCTGGGCCAGAGCCTTCCCACTCCCTCAGGCATGGATGATGTTTTACCTGGGCCCAAGTCTGTAACGTTGGAAGTTTCTGGGGAAGTGTGACCATTAACCATGATGTGTCAACTTGAATGGAAAAGGAAATGCTGAGCATATTAGTAAGCACAGCTCTGGGCATGTCTGTGGATGACTAAACTGAGGGGGAAGACACACCCACAAGCAGGTGCCACCAACCAATAGGCTCGGAGCCTGGATGGAATAAAAGGGGAAAGAAGGAAAGAAGCAGGAAGTGTGCCCACACTGAAGAGCTCCGTGCAGGTGCACCTTTGGCTACATCTTTGGACACTGGTCCCCAGGTCTCCAGTTCCCCCAGCACCCAGCACAGACTTGAACTGGTGACTCCACTGAGCTTCCTGGCCTTCCACCCTGGCCAGCAGCCACATCGTGGATCCCTCTTGTTCAGCAGCTTCCATCTTCTGGGCTGAGCAACTCGGGATCCTCCAGGTCTCAGCGCACAGACATCCACCCACTGTGGACTTTTCAGCCTCTTATCCTGTTGTCACCAGAACACTGGATGTGTGTGCCATGGTGTCACAGAATGAAACCATGGATGCAGGAGGAAAGAGTCATGAGCAAGGAAGTTTATCGGGAAAGCAAAAACAGGCAAAAGGGAAAACTCCTGCTGTGCCAGGGGACTGAAAAGAAGGTTTCCAGGAAGGGCTCTCTGTCCAGGGCTTCTATGAACCTGAGGAGGAAGCGCTTTCTCTTTATGGCAATCAGAGTACAGGGCTCTCTAGCCTTAAGAAATTGTCATTTCCCCAAGGCCCAGTAATGACTATGATCATGCACTGCCTTGTTTCACTGTAAGCCTACTAAATCCCCTTGTCTAATGATGCATGTATTTCCTATCAGTTCTGTTCCTTTGGAGGCCTCTAATTGATACAGATTTTGATGATGACGGTGTGGTCTCCACTGTGACTACACCTGACCATGTGGTTTAGAAGCTTTGGAGCTGGTTTTCAGGCACAGTTTGGAAAGGTCTGAAGATGCTGGTACGGGAGTACTAGGATGCTATTAGCTGAGCTTGGTGGATGATTCTGATTTGAGTTCACAACACCAGAATGCTGATAGGAATGTGGACAGTGAAGGCCAGGACCATGAAATTTCAACTAGGAATGCAAACTCTGCTGGAAACTGGATTTTGCATGTTTCATCCTAGCAAAGAATTTGTTTACATTTTATCCAGATCCTAGGACTTTGTGTGAGGCTGAATTTAAAGGCATGCACTATTGGCTTTTCAGACATGCCCAGTATAAATGACGAGGCCATGGAGGTTCCCAGTTTCATAGAAAGGCCCAAAAGGCCAGGCAACGTGCCCCTGAGAAGTGATGCATGCAACTGTAAGAATGAAACCGAAGGTGCAGTAGAGATCCCAGGAAGGTGGAGATGCCAGGAATGGGTTTCGTCTGCTGGGTGAAACCACAGGCAGTGAATGAAGCCTGCCCAAGAGAAAGGCCGTGAGGGCTACAATGGGCAAGAGCAAGGGCCAGTGGGGCACTGGTGCTGCCCAAGCCCTTTGCAGCTTACATCTCCCCACAGCCTGCCCTGGGTTCTGGACATGAAGCTACAGGGTTTAATGCTTGCCTTGCTGGATTTCAGCCTTGTGTTGGTCCAACTCCTTTATACCTCCCTGCTGCTCCCTTTGGGAATGATAAGGTCTACCTGTGCCATTGTATGTTGGGAGGATTTAATTTCCTGACCCATTACAGGGTTCACAGCTAAGTCTGCCTTGTGTCTCCAAGGAGGCTTTGGATTTGGGTTTTCCAGCAATGCTGGATCTTTCAAAACTTCCACAACTTTGGAGATGGGCTAAACATGCTTTGTGTAATGAGACAGTGTAGGCCTTTTGGGGGCCAGGTAGAATGTTATGGTTTGGGGGGATCTAAAGTATCCCCCAAATGTCAGAGGCAGGAAATAATTGGAGGGGGTCTGACCCGAAAGGATGTGTCCCTGTTGCCAGCCTCTCCCTGTTCTTTCTGATTCCTGGTGCCAAGTGTTGAGCAGCTTCCCTCCACCATGACCTACGTCACTCCATTCCCGCCTTGAAGCCAGCTGACCGGGAACTGAAGCTACTGGAAACTGTAAGCCCAGTAAACCTCTACCCCTTTAAATTGTAGATACCAGGTACTTATCCCCTTGACTGGAAAGCTAATACACAAAGGAACAGATGTTAAAATTTAGGTTTGTGTCCCTTCCTCTTACTGGACAGAGGGTGGGACAGGCCATCGGTCCTGATTACTCTGAGCCTCATCAGAACTGCAGTTTGGATTCTCCATTCCTGTCTCTGGGATGTAAATGCTGCCCTTCTGTGCCCTACCGTCTCTACGACCCCATTCCCAGTGGTGAGCAGGGAGCATGAGCCAGTGCGCTGGTTCTCTCTCTCTCTCTCTCTCTCTCTCTCTCTCTCTCTCTCTCTCAGCACACACAGGCTCAGGAATGGAGCTCAGGCACCGGTACCTGTCAGGAGGACAGTATCACTCCCCAGGGGCCCTAAAGTGGCCAGAGCTCGGATGGCACCCCGTCTATTACAGCTGTGACTAGATGCACTCTCAAAGTCTCATGCAGTCATGGGGGAGCTTTTTCAGAGCTGGCTGGATCTGGAGTGTGGTGCTGGGATGGTGCTGGGATCTGGAGTGTGGTGCTGGGATGGACTCATGGTGCAATGCTAAGATCAAGGGTGCTAGGATTAAGGGTGTGAGTGCTGCCTGCCCTCAGTTGCCTGAATAAGAAAAAAGGGACAGAAAGAGCTGTGGTCACCCCTTGTTGCTTTGCTACCTTCTGCCCACCATTAACTGTTTCTCCTCTGCAATGCCTCTCTGCTAAGCCTCCTGCCTTGGAGACAACTGACAATAGACTGAGACCTTTAGAAACTGTGAGCAAGTTCCTCCTTTAACTTGTGGGTATTCAGTATTTTGACTCAGCAACAAGAAATGTAACTAAGACACCATCATACACATCTACTGGTGCCCGCTTTGGCTTGGATGGGGAAGCTGTATACTAGAGGGTCTGCAGGCTGGGTGGGTATGGAGGTGCACACCTGTGACCCCACCACTCAGGAGGCTGGGGCAGGAGGACAGCCATGAGGCCAAGGCTCTGGAGTGAGGCAGATCTGAGTTCCAGCTCTCACCGTCCCTGACTCGCTCACAACCACAGACGTACACATCTTCTCTGAGCCTCAGTTTCCTCATTTGTAAAACAGGCTAATACTTGTAGCTGCCTCATGGAATTGAAGGAAGAAGCAAAGTTCACTGTCAGGGAAGGGTGCTGGGGCAGGTAAAGGTCCCCTTGGCTGAGAAGGGGTTGCCTGTGTCTGCAGCAGGGAGACCCAGGCCAGGCAGCTGCTGCAGTAGCCTCAGAGATACACAGGTGACCTAGGACAGCTGCCTTGCACATGGAGAAGGGACACAAGAGGTGTCACCACAGGGTCATTAACAGCTGTGCAGGTAGGGGAGATAGGGAAATGAGCATGACCCAGGATTATTTGCAGAATCACAAGGCTGAATCCAGAGCTGTGCTGCAAACCTGGTCCCAAATGTGTTCCATCAGAACAATCGGGGTGGAAATCTAGGACATTTTTCTTGTGTTCACAGAAGGCCAAGAAAAGCACATCTGAGGCATCTCTGTGCATACTCAGCTGGACACACTGCAAAGCCACAGTGAGAGGAGCAACAGGGAAACTGGAAATTTGACTTCATCATGACCACCAAGTGGAATGTGATCAGCAAAAGTCAACTCGTCAGAGAGCCAGTTTGGACAGGGAAAAGCCAGTTCATCAGT